GTAGCACGTCAGCTCAGCCAACACGAGCGTCAGAAGAAGCGGCAATATTCTGACCGGATCAATCAGGTGGACCGGGGTTCCTTCACTCCGTTAGTTTTCGCTACCAACGGGCAGTGTGCCCCAGAGAGTACCATTTTTCTGAAAACCCTCTCGACTCAGCTGCACGACAAAAACCGTGATGTTCCCTATGCCGACATAATCCGTCATTTGCGATACAGGATCAGTCTATCTCTCGTGCGGTGGCAGATAACTTGCTTCCGGGGTTCGCGGGCGTCTTACCGACGCGGTGGATCGGGTGCCAGCCGGCGTCACCAATTTGTCACGGAGTGTGGTGCTTTAGCTCGCCGCCACATTAATGAATTATGTAGTGTCATTGACTCTATGCTTTCTTGCTGTGTCTTTTTGAGTCCTTTTGGAGCTTTTTGAGTAGTTTCTGGTATGATAGTTTAGATTTTGGTGTGCTTGTGTGCGATTTGTGGTAGGCTTTGTTTTCCGTTCTCCGATTTTTTTTGTTGCTGTTGGTCGGATTGTGACTTTGTGTAGCTGCTTTTGTTTTTTCTGGATTGCTGTTGCGTTTTCTATTGTTTTCCTTTTTTAACTTCTATTTATTTTCATCCATGCTGCCATGCACACTTCACATCTTTTCAAAGCATTCGTCTAGGGATTGAGTTGAATCTTTTACACAACCTTGTTACATTTGCCTTGAGTGTCTTTGGATTGGACTGTTTTTCAAATTTTCTTTTTGATTTCATCGTCGAGTTTCATCCCTTGTATCTTTGGGTTTCTTCCTTCTTTCCAGGTCGTATTGTTGGAATAAACCCGGCCGTTTTAGTGCAATGTGACCATGGTGACATCCGAAGCCGAAGTACAGTATAGTACTAGTAGTAGAGTCACGCGCCCAAGAACGTTGTTTCCAAATGCTGAGCCAGGGACGTTGTTATCATCAGGGAGTCGTAAAATACCGGTATTTTACGACTCCCTGGTTATCATCAGTTTTTCAGCATGCATGGCTGCAATCTGGCTGCGTTCTTGTTATAGCTCGTTCTTGGGAACAATCCGTACTGGTCCTACTGGATCATTATGTATCCCACAAGCTGCCAGAAAACCAACACCGCCGTTCGCTTTAGCCAAGTTTTCAGGCTGGACGTTCTTGGGCTCCACGACTCCACGTTCTTCAGCGCGCGACTCTACTGCACATGTACCGGTAGCTCCGAAGTCGGCGAAGACAATTATGTAGTCATGACCGTGCTCACCCTTTACATTGCCTGTTGGGAAATCCCTAACAAAATAAGAAAAAAATAAATAATAATAATAATACTAGATCTAACCTATAAAGTATAATACTCAATCTGCGGACAGCATGCTGTTTCGTTCTTTGTGAAGTCATCAGCGCAGCACAGAGGAAATGAGGCCGAACCTGATAATAATAATAATAATAATAATAGTTACAGTTCGCACGTTACTCATGGAAGGATCCATGGGCTTAACGCATCTGTCAACGAAATCCAGGCAGAAGAGCCGACAAAAGGCATCTCATTATTGTTAGAAAGTATCGCAGTAAGAACAACTACTACCTGATAGCAATGGAAATAAAAATTTCCAATCAGGCCCGAACGTACCTTGCCAGAGTGCTCAAACTGACAGGTCAGTGAATAAAGTACAGTCAACATCGCTAATAACGACTGCGGATATAACGACAATTCGCGAATAACGACAGCATTTCCATGCCCAGAGCAAAGTACCTTCCAACTGTAATACATTATAATGAGACTTCGGGTATAACGACACTTCACGAATAAGGACACTTTTTTGATGCCCCGCCAAGTGTCGTTATAAGCGAAGTTGACTGTATGCAATATGGCCTATTACTCAATATGGCCTACTCTGTATTAGATAATCCAATACATGCACTAGCACTAGTACTAGTACAGTACTAGGAATGGGTTTGCTCCCACACCCCGAAACAATGTGTATTGAGCAGGGAGTGGTGCTTTCTTGCAGGTTTGCCCAGTCGAAGGTTCGATGGACTTCTCGTGTGCTCTGGTGGGATGGCAGTCGTGAGTCAGTCAAGTGTCAAGTCAAGTCGGCGGAATAGCGCGAGCTCCAGTGTGGGAGCAAACCCATTCCTAAAAAATCATCGCCCAAGTCGCAACCACTATTTAGTACAGAACTACCCGGTAGTATTAGATAAACCTTGTTATAGTTCACACAGTCATGATGTTGGTTTGACAGCATGAAACATTAATACGTGAGTCACGTGACTGAGTGAACTAATTACTTCAATTTTCCCAAACCCGCAAACAGGTCGTAGGCGTCTGCCAATGCCAATGCCAATGCCAATGCCAATGCCCTCGCCAATGCCAATGCCCTCGCCAAACAATGCCCTCGCCAATGCCCTCGCCAATGCCCTCGCCAATGCCAATGCCAATGCCAATGAACTCGCCGTTCCATCCGCGGTTAACCGGCTGGCTGCTCTTCTTTTTTTGTGGTTCGCCCATACACTCGCCAACCGCGGTTGGCTGCTTCTTTGAGCACGCTAGTTCATCTTTTATACATGTAGTTCACAGGGCTACCACGCATTGTTTCTACCTCAGTCGCATATCACGTAGTTTCCTTACTCCCGGGCCTAACATTGCTCAATTAAATAGTTGCTTTGTCGACTGAACTGTGCTCATTCCTACTAACTAGTTCTTTGTGAAGGGATAAGAAAAAGTATCTTCCGCTGGACCACATCTGTACGTCGTTCACCAGAGGCCATGGTATAACGCCAGTTGACGCCGGAGGTAAGACGTAACTCCAGCAGCTTGTTAATTTTTTGAAGTGTGTACGAACATGCATGTAGCTAACAAAATGTGTGATGAAATTGAGGTACATGTAGTTTATTAAATTTGAAGATTGAGGATTGTGAGGAAACAATAATTGTGGAAGAAGTCAAAATTCAAGTAGTTTGTTCAACAGTACTAGATAACGTCACAACAACAGTTACATCACTCGTTCTCCTTTCTTTCACTATGATCTCTTATTGGCCACTGGCTATCGTGAGAATAAAGGTTTGAAACATTAGTTTAATAGCTCTCGGGGACAACCAACGTGTAGTCGGGGTGTTCCGACGTGGTGAAGGCCTACCCATGGCCGCGTCGGGACATCACCAACCTCGTCTACAGAGAGCACCTTCTCACGATAGTATCGTGACAGTGACTGTTGTCAGCTGACGAGCTGAGAGAGGGACGCCATGGGCAGAAGTAGTTGGAAGAAAAAAGGAGTTAAGACTATCGATATAATTATTCATTACACTGACGGTATCCCAACTCCTTAATTACCAGATTTTGTATGCCTCGATCTATTTCCTTAGCCTATCCTCGATTAACTGCTCTCTCTACATAAAGTTGTCATTTCATTCTTCTTGCAGGAGATCCCCTCGACAGGCCCAAAGCCTTTGGGAAATCCTTAATATAATAAAATACCAAAAAATCAGGACGACATCCAGGAGCAATCAAAGAATACACGTGCGTACACGACTGACGTTATATAAACGTTAGGAGAAGTCTAAAAAGCTCCCTAGCATAATGAGGGTCAGAACCGGGTTCAACACCCATAACATTATGGTTCAGATGTTCCCAACGAACCGGGGCTCTACCAACCGTGGATGGTTGCAGTGACTGAGTCACTGTTTCCGAACACGGTGTCCTCCACCTTGTTTCATTCTGTCAAACTAACAACATGTAGATCTACCCGCTGTATTCATAAGCTTACAAGTCCTCTTCTTTCCTCAATGTTCACCCTCCAGTCGGCTGCTACTTGCACCCAGAGGCGCACTAGTGGGCAATCATTCTCTTCTCTTCACTTTCTTTGCCTGCCGCTACCACTAGATATGGCATGTTCTCTATTTCTTTCCTTGGCGCTGACATGTGGAATTCTCTGCCTGTCTCGTGTCGTCAGGTTGAGCATCTATCCGTTTTTGTTTCGCTCTGTAAAATACTAAAGAGCACTTAGGGTTCCCTGTAAAGACGGCAACGTCTGTAGGGCCTTCCCTATCAAAATAATAAATACTACTAGTACTACCAAGAGTAGATCTACTCTTGGTACTACTACAGCTACTACCAGTGCAGGGAGTCGTAAAATACTTTACGACTCCCTGACTACTACTACTTCGAGTACCCTCTACTGTACTCACTATTTTTCTCTTTCTTTTTCTTCTTTTTAGAAATTGGGTGTCTCTCGCATACTTTCATTTGCTGTTGCTTTATGCCTTCTCTTTGATGGTTTCTCTTTCTGTTGCTCATTTGGATTGAAATAAAAACGATTCGCGCCTACCCTCTACTGTAGCTGGCTGGCCTGGCTTGATCGATCATGCTGATCCCACCTCCTCCGCACTCGCACTCTCTGGGCTAGTGGCACCACTACTACTAGTACTAGTGCTGAGCTGAGCCGAGCACAAGCATCACTACACTTACTACACTACCACTACAGCTGCGCTGGCTCGCGACTCGTGAGTCGTGACTCCATGACAGTCATGATTGTAATGTCAGTGCTATGACAGTCAGTATGAGTCTATCTATGGCCGGCTATGCCTTGGGCTGCATGACTTTACACACTACAGACAGTCTTTGCGGTGGAAGAGATTATCCCTTCTGCTACAGTTCTATGCTGAAAAATCCTTCACTGCTTCAGTAGTACTAGTAGCAAGAGTATTATGTACTCTTGGTAGTAGCAGTACAATACGTGTACAATCATTGTACTAATGTGCATTATTGTACTTGATCAAGTAGTTGTAGTTTCAGCTTGCCACATGTTGCAAGTTTTTGCCAAGCGACATCGATATCAAGGCGTCGAGTCCTCTTTTTCAAGCTTGTAGCTACACATTGTACCGCATGGTACTGTGTACGCACATCCTTGCGTAGAGTATGACTACGCTCGTATGAGTGAAGTCTTGATGAATGCATGATCGTCGATCGATACAGCCTGACGAACGCAGAGCGCACCCCTACTGCCAGTACTGTGCGCTAGGCCCTGTGCTTGCTTCCTTCCCTGTTCCGATAGCGGACGGAAAGGCGAGATTTTATACCCTAGCCGCGATGCTGGCATTCGCTACCACACGCAATCGCTAGGGGTCAGAGCCGAATCAGCCGATGCAGCACACGGACTGGTTTCCAGGCGAGGCCACTTGTGCCAGTTTTGGCATCTTTTGCATCTTTTTGGCATTTGCTTTTACATTTTACCACTTTCCTCTGATCCTATTTCGGCTGGACGTCGACGTTGGCAAGAACGTTTGGGTGGCGCTCAAACTTTTCTTGTGGCGTGTTGCTGTTGCTGGTGTTGCAAAGTTTGTGACATGGTCTTGGTTTCCTTGGGGAGTGAGCACATTGTTTAGTAGCAAAAAGAGTTCTGGCATTGGTGAGCCTGCAAGCCAGTACGGCCGTGGTGCTCTGACACACCTCCCAAGTATGGATGATTCCGACCTCAAATACTTGAAAGCGGAGACATCTTCGCAGAATGGCCTGTCGGCAACGTCTCACTCCGAATGGGCCGCAAAGCGGCTTGTTTGGGTGCCGCATGCCGAGCATGGCTTCATCACTGGAAGTATTGTCCAGGAAAAGGCTGGCTCGGATGAAGTGATTGTGGAGCTGGCGGACAAATCCAAAGCCGCAGTCAATCAGGATGACATTCAGAAAATGAACCCGCCCAAGTATGACAAGGTGGAGGATATGGCGGAGCTGACGTGCCTGAACGAAGGATCAGTTTTGCACAACTTGAAATCAAGATACTTCTCGGACCTGATCTATGTAAGTTGATGGTTATTTTGTGTGTAGTACATGTATTGTCTTCACGTATTTTATTGCTCTCAAAATTAATATTTTCTGGTAAATTTGTGGGCGCCCGTGTGTTGTACTGGACAAGTAAATTTTAGTTTGATTCATCAATATACCACGGGGTCCAAATAGCAAGTCATCACACCTTGAATTAGACAATATCCATTCTGGAAGTCGGGTGCGGCTTGATATTTCAAATAAAGGGTCGTGGAAATCTTGAACATTTCCATACTCATCCTACACAGTCTATTTAGATGAAATGCTCCTGCTGCCTTTTGGGAGCACATTGTGACAAGTATGGCTGAGTCAAACCTAAAAAACCTCACTTTAAAGTAGGGGTGAAACAATTATACCGAATATTCGAATACTCGTTTGGATTTTTCAAATATATTCGTACTCGGAATAAATCAGAGTACTCGCTCATACGTGGTACATGCATTTACCACAGATGTCTTCAGTTTCAGAGCAGCAGTCATCAGATATTGATGTGCAGACTGTGTGGTGAACATTTGTACACGAGTAGAGAGAGCCCAAATGAACCACCAACCAATACACCCGAGAAAAGGTCTGTCAGTCGGTTCAATCAGGGTTGGACCATGTAAATTTTAAAGCACTTGGTGTGCGGTTTTTAGGATATCAAGAATACTCGAATATTCGATCGGAGGAAATCAGAGTACTCGAACTCGGGATCTCAGTGCCAACTATTACTTTCACCCCTACTTTAAAGTCAAAACATCTGGATCCTGGATCTACACTACCTCTACCATACATTTTGCATAGTTCGGAATCGCATCATGAAAACGACGTCGACTTGAAATTCCACCGAGCCAATGCCGCATGCAGGAGTTGAACACTCTATGCACCCCGGTACCATGTGCACTCTTGTGGGAATTATTTTATGGAGCACACCGGGGGCTTGCACATGGTGTGGTGACAAATATGGCACACTGCCCTAGCATGGCGCTCCAAATTTGGCACTGTCCCAGTATGGATACGGGTGTGCTGTCTGAGGGTTGCTCAGTCAGCCAGTCCGTAAAGCAGTGAATGCAGTCTTCTTTTGTTGCCTTCATTTAGTATAATGCCCGTGCCCGTAATGTATATATAGATGATATGCCAAATAACGTGTAACTAGACTTGAGGACATTGCACACAAGTTGCATACACATTATACTACAATGTGTACACGGTAGGCCCTGAGCTCTGCAGGAATACTAGTCACAGGTAGCCGTATGACATTGAACTATGTGTGCAACTACTCTGCAATGCCCTCCCAAGTCTAGTTGCACGTTATTTGGCATATCATCTATTGCATACGGGTTGATTCCTGTATGCTGCCCAAACACCTGCCTTTTATCCGCCATGGTGAGATGCTCTCTGCATTGGGGGACCTCGAGCGTCACCCTGACTTGGGTACTTATTGAGTAAAGGCGTACATTGCAATGGGATGCATGTGTGAAAAGCCTGCTGTGCTTATAGTGCAGTCCAGTATCTCATCCAGGACTGGCGGAAGCAGTTATCGATTGATCCTGTTATACCCTAGCCTTTCATACAGTTTGTGTATGATATGGAGGTTACTTTTATACAGTTGCGCTCGCTGAAATCCAACCCAAAGTGCAAAGCTGGCGCCCTGTACCCTGGACCAGTTCCGATTACATCACTGTATTGTTGCATGTGTACGTTCAGCTGCGTAATGCCTGCGTTCGTGCCACTTCCAGGGCGGCAAGGGCTGTGCAAGCTGAGGGCGCCAAATATGCACTCTGCGTTGGATTTCACCGAGCGCAACTGTACACATGACCTCCTCAGCAGTAAACACTCGTTGGTGGCCAAAATGTTGGTCGGACGGTGGCCAGACAAACCAGACCGGTTCCGCCGGGCCTGTCCTCACTACAGCGGGCCTGCTCGATTTGGTTTTTTTTGGATTTGCGCCCGATTGTATGGGGTTTGCGCTTCTGGGATCACGGCCGTCCCTGGGGTTTGAGAGCGTTGTTCACTACCCACTTTCCCCTCACCATACCCTATCATATATTTTAATTTTGTTTTATTTTGCTAGGGAATTCCCAACAGGCATCGAAGCCTTTTTAATACAGGGAACCCTAGGTATAGTTTGGATGAGCTAAATTCAGCTGGTGAACTACTCATATCTTGAATGGTGATGTTTAATGTGTTCTCGTTTTTTAAATATTTCCTCTTCTTTGTCTGTACAGACGTATTCCGGATTATTCTGTGTTGTCGTCAATCCGTACAAGAAGCTACCGATCTACACGGAGAAGGTTGTGGGTCTGTACAAGGGGAAGAAGCGGCAGGAAATGCCCCCGCACGTGTTCGCCATTGCCGACGCCTCCTACAGGTCCATGCTGCAAGGTGCGCTGCTGAACACACGTGTGTGTGTGTGTGTGTGTGTGTGACCGGGGAGTCGGAAGGTATTCGACATCGGTGCGGCCATGAAGAGGCGGGGGTAGCGCCCCCCCCCCGGAAAAATCGGAAAATTCGACCAAACTAGCCCATATTTTATTGCTTCAAAAAGCGCAATATGAAACTATTGTTTAAGGATTGCAATAAACAGAACCAGCTGAAGCATCATTTCATGATGGTTTTATTGAGATGACCTGTTTATTGCAATCCTTTAAAAACTATTGTCACCTCACCGCCTTTTCGTGAAATTATCGGTGCGGCTTTGGCTGCACCTGGTGCACCGATTCCTGCGCCTCTCATCTATTCTATACCGAATGTAAATCGTACCTTTGTTCTCGCTTGCCTCTGTCTCCAGATCGCACCAATCAGTCTATTTTGTGCACGTAAGTTCACCTCTGGTTATTTTGTTCGTTTGCTGCACAGGGTGGGTCTAAATGGCGTTCATTCACCTCTGGGGTGTCCATTGTGTGTGCGGTTTCAGTCTAGGTTCTGATACCGGGTTACTTATGCGAATAGTCTATACTATGTATCTAGATACTAGTATTTGCATGTTGTGTGTGTGTGTGTGTAGGGGGGGGGGGGGGGGGTGGGGGGAGAGAGAGAGAGAAAGAAAGAGAGAGAGAGAGAGAGAGAGAGACTGAGAGAGAGACTGAGAGAGAGAGAGACTGAGAGAGAGAGAGAGGGGGAGAGGGAGAGGGAGGGACAGAGAGGGACAGAGAGACAGAGAGAATGCGAGGTGCATTCATAGGCGAGTGCTAACATTTCTATGGGTTTGTGTGTGTGTTGCTTTCTCTTCGCTCTCTTCACTCAGCGGCGAGTCCGGAGCTGGTAAGACGGAGAACACCAAGAAGGTCATCCAGTACTTGGCCTACGTGGCCGGTAGTCAGCCAACTGACTCCCAACGTCAGCAGCAGCAGCAGCAGCAGTCTATCCACATCAGCGCCAGCACGCACAACCGTAACACCCGTCGCCGCTCAGAGACGTTCAAGAACAAGGTCGGCCTGGGTAACCTGTGCCAGGGAGAGATGGAACAGCAACTGCTGCAGGCAAACCCTATACTGGAAGCATTCGGTAACGCCAAGACCGACAAGAACGACAACTCATCTCGATTTGTAAGTCCATTCTCATATACTGTAAACGCCGTACATATATAATGAAGTAAGACTCGGATGGATAGCCAAGGACTACATTTAAAAGAAAGGACCAACATGTTACATGTTATCCGTAGTTTGTGTGTAACAGTAACAGTCGTAAGCAAGCTATTGTGTAGTCTTTAAAAAAATATAACAAAGTGCTAAATCTAACGAGTGAACGAGGAGAAATCTGTCGTCAAAATGGAGAGCGTTGTACATAAAGGAGAGCGTTGTACATAACTCTATACATACTGTTGTTAGCGAGTGTTGAGAATGAGTGAGAATTGTTGTCTTTGGTACACGTACACTGGTCAAGCGTAGACAATCGTTATATCTGCGGCTCGTTAGAATAATAGAGAGGTTCCGCATAACGTAATTACGTTAGTAAAAAACGTAGTCAATCTACGGAAAGTCTTACGTAAACTGCATGCGCATCTGTGTTCCGCCATACGGAGTTTTCAAATCACGTAGCTGCCCTTGGCAACTCCGAACGCGGCAGTGTACGACCAGATCGACCTGGGGAGAGAGTCATAAATTTGTACCTCAATCCACTTACGGACCAGCTACGTTATCAGAGCCCTATCTACGTACTCTACGTAGATAGCTTTCCGTAAGTGGAGTGCAAACTCGCGAATTCACGGGTTTTCCCCGCCCACTAATGTAAAGTTGCTCAACTTTACGTAGTGCGGAACCTCTCTAATGGCTTTCACAGTAACCCTGCCATGTTTGCTATGTGCGCAGCCGGGTGCAAACGTGTCGTGGGTCATTGGATGGTTGGGGGGGGGGGAGGTGGATCGGCGAGCGCAGAGATTGTTGTGTAGGCGTGAGCAATTCCACTACTGGCACACATCTGATGATTCCGTCGTGATGTAACTCCGGTGTGTGTGTGTGTGTGTGTGTGTGTGTGTGTGTGTGTGTGTGTGTGTGTGTGTGTGTGGTGTGTGTGTGGTGTGTGTGTGTGTGTATGTGTATGTGTATGTGTACCGGTATGTGTGTGTGTTCAGGGCAAGTTCATTCGTATCAACTTTGACGCGCACGGATACATAGCTGGTGCCAACATTGAAACGTGTAAGTTATCATTCTTGTTTTTTTCTCATTGAGAAGACGAGAGGTATCACAGCTCCATTGAAGAGGGGTATGCTTGATTGGTCAGATCTTTGCGCCACATCGATCAAACCCACTCGTATGTGCAGGTTCACATCAACCAATCCGGAACCGACCGACTCACAGTGGGTAGCAGGATGGGCTGGATCTTGTGTAGTATTCTTCTCTATGCAATCTTTGTTCAAGTAGTGCAAAACATACTGGTAGCCCTAGTGTAAACTGACTAGAGCAGATTGGGTACTGCTGCTTCTTGATACCTTATCTGGGATATATGGCTTTGTGCTGTATTGCACCGTGTAGTGGTCTTGTCTCTGTCCGCATGTTTACAGCCTCATCTCTTCAGCATAGTACGTGTACGGTATAAATCACTTTCTGAACATTTTCTCCTGCTCTGTCATCTTGTGGCGGACTGTGCACGCACGTGTGTGTGTGTGTGTGTGTGTGTGTGTGTGTGTGTGTGTGTATATGTGTGTGTGTGTGTGTGTGTGTGTGTCTGTGTGTCTGTGTGTGCAGATCTCCTGGAGAAATCTCGTACCGTTAGGCAGGCGCCAGGCGAGAGGACGTTTCATTTCTGCTATCAGATGATGGCCGGTGCGGACGAGGCCCTGAAGCGTGAGTTTGCACATTGGAACTTTGCGCTTTGATATGGCAACGGAATTACTCGAACATTATATGCGGGATTGTGTGATTGTATGTGTATGTACATGTACATGTATTTGTGTGTGCAAGTATGTGTACATGTGGTCGATTCACATGGCTTCGCCAGTTGTGTGCATTAGACAGTTATCTGGCGCAAGTCTTTATCTGTCTCATTCAGATCTTGTTCGCTATCTTTGCTGTAAGAGAAAATCTTGGGGTGCACATCCTGTGCATTTGCAGATTTGCGTGCTTCCCTTGCGACGGGCGTATGCATGGTACACGGTACATGGTGTGTGTGTGTGTGCGTGCGTGTACGTGTGTGTGTGTACGTGCGTGTGTGTGTGCTTCTCATTCTTCTTTGACATGACACGTTCATACGTTGCTGTTGTTGCTGTGCAGGTGAGCTGCTGCTTGCCGACATCACCGAGTACAGGTTCATGACTAATGGCAATGTCACACTGCCGGGTGTGAACGACGCCGAGGAGTACAACATCACCATGGAGGCGTTTGACACGCTGGGCCTGGGCAGCGACGACGTCATGTCCATCCATCGCATCATCTCCGCCTGCCTGCACTTTGGCAACTTCTCCTTTGTGGAGGATCGCACTGAGCAGGCTCAGCTGCCCGACCAGTCTGGTAAGCTGCAGCAGTTCTGCACTTTTGAACTCCAGCGGAATGACTGGAGCCCTGTGCCCCAAGCGTGTAGAGGCGGGAGGAGGGTAGCAGGCCCGGAGCCAGCTTCTGGGGGGTGGTGGGGCCCCAAGTCGGCCACAGGACCGATTATTTCCCCAGGCCCAATTTCGAATTCCTAGAAGGATACATCTCTAGCTCTATTCTTCATATCTGTTTGTTTCAGCTACACATTTCTCTAGCAACAGATATGCAGCTAGCGCAGTAGAGCTCACTTGACGCGGAAAACAGTTTAACAGGGGGAGACTCTAGAGAGGAGCGTATGAGGATAACCTACTACATACTTCCTGATAATCAATTGCACACTGAGCAGCTCATGAACGCTGGAGCTGGTAAAGGCTGGTACGGCCATGGCCGCACCGGACGTACCAGTGACGCTGACCCTGGCTAGGTCTTTATCGTGTCCCCGGCCAGCACTGGACCATTCTGGTGCAGGAAGTCAGCCACCTACAGTGCATTTCAAAACTATAGACGCGTAGGGTTTTTGAAATATTTCAAATTTGGCTGGACCTTTTTGAGAATAGTTTTCGGAATATTGCTCAGGATCGCTCCACAATTACTCTCATATAGTTTCTAAAGGATTGGATAACAGACGCCCAATTTGGAAAAATTTATGCACAAAGTGATCACAGATTTTATGTGGTATAGATGCTGGCATAACGGTTTTTGCCTAGGTACGCGTCTATAGTTTTGAAATGGACTGTACTTTCCCCTGCATGCATGTATGCATGGGTCCTAGTGACCCTACTGTGTTTGGATCTGTTTTGAACTCGTTTCTTGTATATTTCAGTGTTGGCATTGCAAAAATGGACACCCATACACCGTATGAGTAAATTCAGCTGTTTACTAACGTAATTACGTTATGTGGAACCTCTCTGTTACCAAGAATACCCCTTTATTTTAGGGCAGAACATATACCAACCGCGAAGCCGGCTCGATACGTACTACTCTCGCATCAGAGGATTTGTGGGCTTAGAACCCATTGAGCGGAAATCATATTTTCAACGTGCTTGTCTGCATGTGTGTACGTTTTCTCGCTTGTGCTTTTCGTCCTGCAGTTGCCGAGAAGATCTGTCATCTGCTCAACATTTCCGTCACTGAGTTCGTGCGCAGTCTGCTGACACCGCGCCTTAAAGTCGGCAGGGAAACCGTCACCAAGGCACAGACCACAGCCCAGGTAAGGACTGTGGCCTGCCCCGGTGCTGGCTTCATACCTCCATGACATTGTCAGGGAGCTAGCGACGTGCTTGTTTGAAAATACAGTCAACTTTGCGAATAACGACATTCGGCGGGGCATCAGAAAAGTGTCCTTATACCCGAAGTCCCATTTAAATGTATGTGAACCCATATTTTGTATAGTATGACATGCATATCAAAATGAAGCTCTTTTCATGCTCTATGCGAATGTGTACTTTATTTTAATATTACAATTGAAAGGAACTATAAAGTCAATATGGAAGGGAAATAGATTGAAAAATTAGCCGTTGGAGCCATCAACAGGGACATGTACATGACATGCATGTATGATGATTCGTGTACAATCATGTACAACTACATGTAGTTGTGCTGAACACTCCAACTATTTAGAAGCAAATAAAATATAAAATTAATAATAATGCACCCTCCCCTTGGCTGCATCTTCTCGCACGTGTGCCTTTATCCATCGGGATCGGTTCTGGCACTTCTGAATGACAGGTACTTGAAATAGCTGTCAAAAGCCCAGAAGGTCGTTATTCAAGCAGTTGAATATGACCTCGGGGCACTAAAAGCATGTCGCTATTCGCGAATTGCCGTTATTCAGATAGTCGTTGTATCCGAAGTTAAATGTATACAGTTAGATGGGACTTTGCTCTGGGCATGGAAATTCTGTCGTTATTCGCGAAGTTGACTGTAACATGGTCCGCCTGCAGAGGGGTGTTTATCACAGCTCTGAATTTTCATGTTCAGTTGGTTGTGAATGAAGAGGCAATGTAGTTATTTTTCAATTTTGGATATGTCATCCTCAATTCAGTCTTCCTTTTGTCGTACATTTAATGAATATGTTTTTTTCTTCCCTTCACTCCCTTTCGCTCTACTGCTCTCTCTGCTTCTCTCTCTGCTTCTCTCTTGCTCTCTCCCTCTTGCTCTCTCTCTCTCTCTCTCTCTCTCTCTCTCTCTCTCTCTCTCTCTCTCTCTCTCTCTCTCTCTCTCTCTCTCTCTCTCTCTCTCTCTCTCTCTCTCTCTCTCTCTCTCTCTCTCTCTCTCTCTCTCTCTCTCTCTCTCTCTCTCTCTCGCCATCAGGTCAGTTTCTCTGTCGAAGCCCTAGCCAAGGCGCTATACGAGCGTCTGTTCAAGTGGCTGGTCACCCGTATCAACAAGACATTGGACAGGACGTCTCGCAAGGGTAGCTCCTTCATTGGTATTCTCGACATTGCTGGGTTCGAGATCTTCAAGGTCAGTGCTGCAACAGATGCCACTGGCAAGCTAAACCTTCTGCTTTCTCACAATGCCAGACCTATGCTGCATAATATTATAAACTCTTTCTTACACAAACAGAAGGACGAACAGTTTGCGAAAATCAGATGAAAATCGAAAAACTCAGTCTTTACACATAGCAGACTCAACAGAGGACGTTCAGGTCGGTTGTAACTCCAAGTTTCATGCTGCGAGGCAATCATCAGACACCTCATGCTATGTTCTAAGCTCTGTCGATGCCATTGAGTGCTCTCAGCAGGTTTGGGAATCAACGGATTTGTAAAACTCTTTCCTATGGACAGCTGAACAAGGGTGTAGTCTGTACAGAGTGTATACAAACCTGTTGGACACAACGGGCATTGCATTGCACTGCATGCTGGGGGGTTTCATGTACCAATGCTCGTAACAAGGTTGCTACCCTCGCTTTAGTCGCCGGCTTGTTTTCACACTTCACTAACAAGCGTGAGCTGCAGTGTGGCGATCAAACCACCTTCTTATAGTTATCGACGAAGTCGCTGTGTGTGTGTGTGTGTGTGTGTGTGTGTGTGTGTGTGTGTGTGTAAATGTGCGTGCGCATACGTGTCAATATTGATTTTTCCTGCACAGGTGAACTCCTTTGAGCAAATGTGTATCAACTTCACGAACGAGAAGCTGCAGCAGCTTTTCAACCATACCATGTTCATTCTGGAACAGGTTAGTACAGAGAGACAGACAGACAGAGACAGAGGCAGTGACAAAGGGAGAAAGAAAGAGAGAGACCATGCTTATCTCTGTGTATGCCTCAGGAATCACACTGATCCACGCAGAGGTTTTGTCCAGATCAAGGTGTACTGTCCTCCGTACACTCATTCCACTTATGGCACAATTTGATTGCACTGAAACGCGTCCACACCAGCAAACCTGCACGCACACTGCACATCCTGTACTATTTGCACGTTGCAAGTCTTCTCTTATGTGTACATGCTGCCTAGCATTGTGGCTTCACACATTCTTGCTGTTTTGTAAATAATTATTAACCCTTTCCATGCTAGTGACTTCTATAGACGTCATGCGCGCTGTATGTCAAACGACTAATGACGTCTATAGACGTCATGGGAGTTGCGCAGTACATCGCAGTGCATAGATCAGTGTACAAACTTTCGTAACTCCGTCAAAAATTATTCTATCGCGACAATCGATACACCGTTGGAAAGGAGCTAGCTCAGCTTTCCAGCGATACAAAGTTCTTCGCGATAGGAGAAAGATTGACGGAGCGGCGACGGTGTGAACACGAAATTCACGGCACTGAGCGATCGTGAATTTTTTTGTTCATGCATTCGCAGTTTTCTGTTGCGTGCCAGGGGATTTCCCTTTGGCACGGCGCATGCGTAATGGACACCAGCGGAAGCACGTGGATCTTAGCTTTGTAGCGCAGTTTGAATCGTGAAAATCGGCTGACCTGGAGCAAGAAGCTGAAAAAGAATGTGAGATCGAGTTCCTGTGCCTTTCCAAGGCATCGTGAGGTAGCTTCAAGAGGACGTAGAAGCTGCACCACTGTGCATATTGAGTTGAGAGCTACCAGGATGGATTTGCTTGGTCCTGATCTTTCCAACAAGCCCAGGATGATGAAAATCCATCAAGGTAAACTGAATTGAGAGAAAAATTCGTTCGGACCTGTGCGCGAAAACGACACCAGGAGAGTCAGTGCGCTGGAAAGGCAGTTTGCTGGAGTAAAAGGGGCCAGCACGGAAAGGGTTAATACCGAGTGGTTACGCCATTGTGAGTGTGTGTACAGTTGTTGGTTGGCGCTCATCCACTTTTGTTCTAGGGACGCTACCAATGAGTTATCTCTAATGCTTTACACCTTTTCCTCTTTCTCTGTTTTTGCTTGTGTGTTCTCAGGAAGAGTACCGTTTGGAAGGTATTGAGTGGAACTTCATTGACTTTGGATTGGATCTGCAGCCTTGCATTGATCTCATTGAGAAGGTATGAGACTCTGGGGAATTTATAAGGTGGAGATTTATATCCAGTGGCTGTCGTGTGTATATGTGTGAGTGTGTGTAGGGGTGGGGGTGGGGGTGTCACATTTGATAACTTTTAAAACAGAGCACGCCTGGCATGTACGTTGTGAAGTAGTAAATAGCACAGTATCAGGCATAATTCCCTTTGATATCTTGGACTTGAACTGTCGGTCTTGAAGGAGCGGTTCCTGTTTCCTGGTTTGGAGTACTGTTAGATTTTTTCTATCCAGGGGATTTGAGCTTTTTTTGTGCAGTAGAACCTGTTGTAGCTGTGACAATATGACAATGTGTGTAGTGTGACGATACAATGTGTGTGTAGACAAACATTACGGTTATGTATTTGTTGTGGTGACATCTGTCATCAGTGTGTCATGCCTCTTACCTCATTGTAGCTTCATCCGTAGTCCGCTTCCATTGTCCTTGTTCTATATTCTATTCTATTTCTTCTAGTGCTAGTCGTTTACTTCTCATCTTTCCTTGAAGTAGTATATTTGAATTGTAATTGTTTTCCTGCAACGATCGTTCGTTGTGTTATTTATTTGTGTCTTGACTTCATTATTTATTTCGCCAGCGCCTGCAAGGCTGCATGCGCATGCTAGATTCTGTGTTCACGCGTGACTAATGATGTCATCGCTATGCCTTTGCTTGCTGCGCGTAGTCGCGTAGCTGGTCTTGTTGTTTTCTTTGCTTCGTTCGAGTTGCTGTTGCTCGACTTCGTTTTCTGATCTATTTTCTGCATTCAATGGTGGCCGTGATGGCTGTCGCTGCAATAGCAGCTTCAGCCACGACGGGCCTCTATCGGTTGCTCTGCCGCCATGTTGGACGCCATGTTTTAGACGTGTCTTTTCCTGGCCAAAGTGCTGGTGATTTTGTGTTCTTGTTGTTCTTTTCTTGTTCTCTCTCCTTTTCCTACTTGCATTTTTCGTGATTCATACATTTCCACCAAGAGGCTGCCGTTTGCGCTGGTGTGTTGTGTTGGGCGAAGAGGGGTGATAGAGAGACTAGATAGCTCCAGTTCTCCCACAACTTTGTGGTGCCGAAACCCGGGACAGAGCCGGGAAAGAGCCGGGAAAGTGTTTTCGGAGTACGAGTGTCGTAGTGATTTTATTTTGTGAGACGAGAGTTCTTACTGTGAGTTCCTACTGTGAGTTCCTACTGTGTGTTCGTGGAATACTCGAGTGAATCATGTCTACCAAGTATCTTGTCCAGCCGTTTTCTGGCAAGGATGGTAAAGACCTAGAGGAATTCTGGGCAAAGTTTTTAGTTTTGGCCACTGCCAAGGAATGGTCCGACGAAGATGCACGCATGCAACATCTACCTTTATATTTGCAGGGCGATGCATTTCGAGTGTTTGCTCGTATGGCAGAGAGTGACAAAAGCAAACAAGCAGAGGTCAAGAAAGTTTTAGTGAGTGCGTTCAGTGTGACGCCGTCCAGAGCGTATGATTTGTTCAAGCGCCGTTGTTTGCGTGTGGATGAAAGTGTCGACGCGTATGTGGCCGATTTTCAGCGTTATGCAGCGCTGTCGGGGCACAAACCGGGTGGTACCGCCAGCAAGGATCCGATCGTGATCGAGCAACTGGTCGCTGGCCTACAGCCCGAATTTGGCCGCCAGCTGAGAATGTCACTGGCTGGCCAAGAGCTGACGATACCTGCGTGTCTAGAGCGTGTGCGTGCGCTCAGAGCCAGTGAGACCGATGCTCGGTACACGAGCAGGTTCAGCCAGAGCGTTTCTGCTAGTGCCAGTACCAGTAGTTACAGTGGAGGTGTACACCGACCAGCTCGCAGTACTGTTGTCTGCTATAACTGTAATCAGCCTGGGCATGTCCAGCGTAACTGCCCAGAGTTCAAGAAGAAGCAGAAGCCCCGTTTCAGTGGACCAGTAGTGTGCCACTTTTGTGATCAGCCTGGTCATGCAAAGCCAGCGTGCCCTGAGAGAAGGAAGTGGCGAGAAGCCAAGGCAGCAGAACGTGTGGCGGCTGCTGGTACGTCGCATAGTAGCAGTGACAAGTGCCTGTGTGCGGTGTCCACTGAAGCTGCCCCCTTGCCGAGGATCTATGTGGACGTGGAGTCGGCCAAGCCGGATGACTGGTGCCGTGGAGAGGCCATGCTGGACACCGGGTCGGCTCGCACGCTAGTGTCGTCTGGCTTTATACGTGCGGCTAAGATGTGCAGCCAAGTGTCGGCGGTAAAGCAGGAGAAGCTCCTCGCCCTGGATGGCGAAGCCCTGCCGATTTCGGGGTCAATTTCACTAACGATTCGTCGCCTGGATGGACCCGTAAATTTGCCGCCTACCCGTGTTGTTGCGTTTGTAGTTCCTGAGCTGTCGGTTATTAATGCTGACCTGTTGCTGGGATCTGACCTTGTCCGTGCCATCGGTGGCGTCAGGTTGCAGTACTCTGAGTCAGGTGATCTGCGGTCCGTGTTGTTTGGTTCGTCAACCGCCAGTGACCCTGAGCCTGTGTCGTCTGTCGTGAGTGATGCTGTGCAGTCGCCGGATCAGCACCCGTCTCGGCATGTTAGCGTGGTGCAAGACGGTGAGGACGTGACGCTATCTGTCGAGGATGGTCAGATAAAGTGGCTAGCAGCTGAGCAGTGTTGGCAGGCAGCATGGAGGTGGAAGGACGACAAGCCACCTACCGGACGCATCGGCAGCGGCATTGGGGAGTACCCCCGGAAACTTAGCGATGATCAGGAGAAGCTGTTCCAGCAAGAAGTGGACTCCTGGATCGGTAACGGATGGCTCATCGAGCATGATGAAGAGGTACATGGAGCTCCTGCTGCAATTCTGCCATGGCTTGCGGTCAGCCAGGAGCACAAGCCTACTACACCTGTTAGGCCTTGCCTCGATTACCGTGCGCTGAACCGTGCCCTCGTGTCTCAGCCCGGTATGGATGCCTCCGTGTGTGGCGAGAAGTTGCGTGAGTGGCGTACGCACGATGCCAACGAGTATGAGATGTTGGATATTCGAAAGGCCTATCTGCAAGTCCGTATGTCACCTGAGTTGCTACGGTATCAGTGCGTGAAATGGAGGGGAAAGCTGTACGTGATGACCCGCATGGCTTTCGGGTTGAGCGTTGCACCAAAGTTCATGGACGTGATAGTCAAGTGGTGCACGCGAGATCATGATGGTGTTGACAATTACGTTGACGATCTGTACGTCCCGAAACCGCAGACAAAGGCTGTTGCGGATACCCTCGAGCGCTATGGCCTGCGCACGAAGCCAGCTGAGCCCGCCAATTCCGCCCGAGTACTTGGACTTCAGCTGTTTACGGGCCAAGATGGTCAAACCCGTTGGAAGCGTCGAGACGGAGTGAGTCTCGAGTGTGGCAAGCTGACCAAGCGTGGTGTATTCTCGTGGTGCGGCCGACTGGTATCGCACTATCCCGTGTGCTCGTGGCTGCGACCTGCCTGCAGCTTTCTGAAGCGCCTAGCATGTCGTGATGGTGGTGGTTGGGATGATGACGTCCCCAATGATGTGGTAACCTGTTGTGCCGAACTAGCAAGTCGCGTCCAAGATGAGGATCCGGCCACAGGCGTGTGGAATGCGTCAGTGAACGAGCAGCAGCTCACCGTGTGGTGCGATGCGTCTGATGTCGCATATGGCATTGTTGCCGAAGTTGGTGGTGAAGTCATGGAGGACAAGTCTTGGCTTCGCGATGCCGACGAGAAGAAGCATATCAACATCGCAGAATTGGAAGCAGTAATACGTGGGTTGTCGACGGCAGTCGAATGGAACGCCAGCAACATCCGTCTTGTCACTGATTCCAAGACCGTGTACGGCTGGGTGAAGTCGTGCCTGAACAATGAGCGGCGTGTCAAGGTGTCCGGGCTGAACGAAGTGTTGGTTCGCCGACGACTAAACATCATCGACGACATTGTCGCGACCGCGAAGCTGTCCGTCACCATTGAGTGGGTACCGTCCCAGCAGAACAAGGCTGACAAGCTGACGCGTGTCCCAGATTTGTTCATCCGCTGCTGGAAGAAATCAGCCAAGCCAGATGTAGTTGCTGCCGTCTCTGCACCCCCGAAGATTGTGAGTGCTATTGTGTTACAGGACATTCTTGATGCGCAGAAGTCTGATCCTGTTGTTGTTAGTGTGATTGAGTCTGTGCGTCACAGTCGTGAGATTTCCGACCCGGTATTTAAGAAATTGAAGTCTCAGTTGTCTGTATCTGATGATGGTTACTTGTATCGTAGTGTGAAGGTACCGCCGAATGATGTGCGTGTTGTACCAGTTGTGTCTCAGTCATTGCAGCAGCGAGTGGTGTGTCGTGCCCATGCTGTGAGCGGTCATTCCAGTTGGGAGACCACATGGAAGCTGTTGCGTGCGAGTTGTTATTTTGCAAATATGGCTGTTGTTTGTCAGTCGTTGATTCAGTCGTGTGATGTGTGTGCTGCTGCTAATTCGAAGCGTGGGCCTGTTGCTGAGCCAACACGTCCGGTTATTTCATCTGGTCCGTGGAATGTAGTACAGCGAACAGCGCCGTACGAGTCCGGATGGACAGTTGATAGTGTTGTGTCTCCATCAACTGTTGTAAGTGTTCGAGACACTAACGGTCGACATTCGATGAAGACTGTCAATATTGATCTAATTAAGCCGTCAAGTGTGAGTGTGCCTGAGTATGATGATGCATGTGCTTCAAGTACTAGTGATTCTGATTCTGATGTGCCAGCCCAACCACTTCAAGTTGGTGGTCATCGTCTTCGCAACCGTGCTGGTCTCGTTCCTCCTGTTCGTTACCGTAGTTAACTGTTGACGTGATGTCACCAGGGGGAGGTGTGACAATATGACAATGTGTGTAGTGTGACGATACAATGTGTGTGTAGACAAACATTACGATTATGTATTTGTTGTGGTGACATCTGTCATCAGTGTGTCATGCCTCTTACCTCATTGTAGCTTCATCCGTAGTCCGCTTCCATTGTCCTTGTTCTATATTCTATTCTATTTCTTCTAGTGCTAGTCGTTTACTTCTCATCTTTCCTTGAAGTAGTATATTTGAATTGTAATTGTTTTCCTGCAACGATCGTTCGTTGTGTTATTTATTTGTGTCTTGACTTCATTATTTATTTCGCCAGCGCCTGCAAGGCTGCATGCGCATGCTAGATTCTGTGTTCACGCGTGACTAATGATGTCATCGCTATGCCTTTGCTTGCTGCGCGTAGTCGCGTAGCTGGTCTTGTTGTTTTCTTTGCTTCGTTCGAGTTGCTGTTGCTCGACTTCGTTTTCTGATCTATTTTCTGCATTCAATGGTGGCCGTGATGGCTGTCGCTGCAATAGCAGCTTCAGCCACGACGGGCCTCTATCGGTTGCTCTGCCGCCATGTTGGACGCCATGTTTTAGACGTGTCTTTTCCTGGCCAAAGTGCTGGTGATTTTGTGTTCTTGTTGTTCTTTTCTTGTTCTCTCTCCTTTTCCTACTTGCATTTTTCGTGATTCATACATTTCCACCAAGAGGCTGCCGTTTGCGCTGGTGTGTTGTGTTGGGCGAAGAGGGGTGATAGAGAGACTAGATAGCTCCAGTTCTCCCACATAGCTTATATCGTGGAATAGTCCGCACTTACACTTTCTCTCTCTCTCTCTCTCTCTCTCTCTCTCTCTCTCTCTCTCTCTCTCTCTCTCTCTCTCTCTCTCTCTCTCTCTCTCTCTCTCTCTCTCTCTCTCTCTCTCTCTTGCAGCCAATGGGAGTGCTATCTCTGCTGGACGAGGAATGCTGGTTCCCCAAAGCCACTGACAGGACGTTTGTCGAGAAGCTTCTACAGAAGCAGAAGAAGCACGACAAGATGTCCAAGCCAGATTTCCGCAGCAAGGCCGACTTCACCGTGAATCACTACGCTGGCAAAGTGCAATACGTGGCTGAGAGCTGGCTGACCAAGAACATGGATCCACTCAATGACAATATTGTGTCCCTACTGCAGAACTGTGCTGATCCATTCTGTGCCAACCTATGGAAGGACACCTGTAAGTTGCTGATGGTCGAGCTTGGGATGCTTTCACTGTTGATGATACTGCTGGTGGTGATAATGCTGCTGCTGCTGCTGCTGATTATACTGCTGTTGCTGTTGGTGATGTTGCTAATTCTGATGCTGCTGCTGGTGATGGTGATGTTAGTGCTGGTGGTGGTGGTGATGATGGTGGTGGTGGTGATGGTGGTGGTGGTGGTGATGATGGTGATGGTGATGGTGATGTTAGCGCTAGTGCTGGTGGTGGTGTTACTGTGCCCACTGCTGATGGTGTTGTGTGCCAGTGTTGGCAGTGGTGATGGTATTGTATGGGTCTGTCTTGTTGCATGTCTTATATTGCCACTTTTGCTGGTGATTTGGGCTTAAGAGCAAGCAGATGTGGTTTCACTGGTATTGTTTTGCCTCGCATCACTGCTGTTATACCTGTGGTGGCCGTGATGGTGGTGGCCGTGATGGTGGTGGTGATGATGATGGTAGTCATGCTATTGCAGTTGGTGCTGGACTCCGTGTTCGTTTAGCTACTGCTTTTGCCAGCGTAAAGCACTGTCATTCTAGCATTGGCCGACTAATTGTTGGTTTTGCTTTGAGAATGACAGTCGTCATGTCATGGCTATAGAATTCTTCAGTTCTTTCGGGTGAGCAGCTTGACAACCTACCCATGAGAGACTTGCTCAATTAGAACTGTGACATCTATACCAGTTATTGTGACTATGCTAGTTGTTGTTCTGGCCGTTATCAAACCAAGTAGCAACATTATTTGAATGTGTGTTCATGCGTGGGTGGATGTGCGTGTGTGTGTGTGCGTGCCCTTTTGGTGGTGATTGTGTGTGTGTGCATGTGTGCTCGTGCGCGCGTGTATGTTCGTGTGTTCGCGTGTGTGTGTGTGTGTGTGTTCATGGTCTGTGTACGTTTGTATGCATATACGTTACAGCAAACATCACCAGTATTGCTAACATGGGCGATGCGGCGTGTACACGGCCTCGCAAGGGCATGTTCCGCACTGTCGGACAGCTCTACAAGGTACGCTGGAAGAACTTAGAACTCTCAGTTTTACTCCGCTCTGGCTCTCTGTGGTATTATAGCTGATTCTCACTCAAATCTTGTTCTTGCTTCAGGAGTCTGCAGTTTTCAGAGCAGCAAACACTCAATACTGATGTACAGGCCGTGTTGTGACCATTGGCATTATAAGTAAAGGGAACCCAAAAAGTCTCACCTCTTTCAGGGGCGTCACACACGGTACGACCACTACGACCATGGTCGTACCACTTTTCGTCCAGGATGGTCCACCCAATTCATCCGAAAAAGCAATAAAAAAATTCAAGGATCTTCGGACTTGTACAAAACATCGCAACTGTTACTTTCATTGCAAGGAGCATACAGACTTGATGCCTAGCACTAGCAGCTACGCCCAAGACTCCAGGCGGCTATCCATTACGATAGGCGGTTGGAGTCACGGTTAGAGATAACCAGACGATGGATTCCTCACGGACGCATTCACTGCAAACTTGACGGAAACAGAGCTGAGCTGGCGGCGATCACTGGGTCCAGAACTAAAATTTTCCAAGATCTACCATGTTACAATGGCGATCAGCACGTCAAGAGACACTACATGTATGTCACTTGTCAGCTACAACATAATAATTATATTCTTTCCACAACGACACCTACCTAGTACCTCTGGCTCCTGACGATCTACTGCAAGCGGATTCGAAAATGCATTACACCCGCGAACGCAGCGCTTGTCAACAGAAAAGGGAAGCGCTTCATTCTCCGAAGCTGAAAAGTGTTTGGACTGCTGCTCCACGGCGGCAGAATATTCTGCAGCTGTTCACCGACACGACCCGCTTCACCTATATTATAACGATTTACGATCGTTTCGTTCCCCGAGTTTTCTGGTAGCAGCAACAAGAATTTCGTCCGCGACGACAGGACGAAAGTCTCTCGCAAACTAAAGTCCTGTTGCCACGAAGACAGAGAAGATTCCGCAAGCGCTTTCTTCTGCTTCCATTGTTGTAGCTCTCCGGTCCACTGGCAGATCTTTCAATCCCACCGAACAAAAACAAAGGATCTTCTTCTCTCTCTAAAAACAACTAAAATAATTGACTGCCCAGGCCGGACGTGTACATAGTGTACGCGACGCGGCAGACTTTTGCAGGACACGACATACGTTTTTGCATAGCCGCTGGCGCTAGACCGCGCAGCACGCTTGTACTTCGAATTTTGCGGTTTTTTCGAGGGCAATGGCCCTGAATCATTGAATGGGTTCCATTTGCCTTGCTTGGCTACCTACGATGTACAGAAAATACCAAAAATTAGGGGTGAAACAATTATACCGAGTACTCGAGTACTCGCTCGGTTTTTTCAAAAATAATCGTACTCGGAAAAAATCAGAGTACTCGTTCATACGTGGTACATGCATTTTCTACAGAAATCTGCAGTTTCAGGGCAGCAGTCGGCAGATGGTGATGTGCAGACTGTGTGGTGAACATTTGTTCTCGAGTGGAGAGAGCCCAATTGACCCACCAACCAATATACCTGAGAAAAATGACTGCTACTCAGTTCAATCAGGGTTGCACCATGTTATTTTAAAGCCCTTGGTGTGCAATTTTTAGGAGATGAAAAATACTCGAATACTCGAATATTCGATCGGAGAAAATCAGAGTACTCGAACTCGGGATCTCAGTGCCAACTTTCACCCCTACCAAAAATCCATGAGAAGTATGTTTTTGGAGCTGGAGTGGGGTTGTCGAATAAGTGCTAGGGGAACCCTCCTTTGCGGCTGTAGAGCGCTAAAAGGTGGCCTGTTAGCCGAAAAATCCTTATTTTTTTCTTCGGGGGACACCCCCGGACCCCCGGTCGTACCACTCCCAGCCACCCTGTGACGCCCCTGTCTTTAATTTTCTCTAGAAAAGGGCCACCAGTCCATTCACACAGGGTTTGTATCATACATTTTTTTAGCGATTTTCAGACGGGTTAAACAAAATGTACAAAATGAAGAGAGACTGAGGGCGCGTTTGGTTGGTACGAACTAGAGCAGGATTCACCAGAACAGTGCGTTAGGTTGGGACTGCACCTGTTCTGGGTCGGCCAGAACATGTTCTGCTTGCTCCGGCCTCAAGACCGGAGCAGACCGAGCAGTTTCACTTTTTCACAGTGAAACCTGGCGGGAACATCGATTTTGGTCCCAAATGATCACGTGCATGCGCTTTTAGGTTGGACTCGTCGTACCGTACACAGTGACCATGGTGACCCATACACATTTTGAAGAATGCACCAAGTTTGGCGCATTTTCCACTAAAATGTGCTCTCTTTCTGGAGTATCGTTTGGTTAGCATGAGGCTGCTCCATGTGCACCAGCTGTTCGATCCTGTTCTAGATCGTACTAACCAAACGCACCCTGAGAGAATACCAAACAGGGGAAATAAATTTCTCAAAATGCGAAGACTCCACTGTAGCCATCCACTATATCCATACATCTTCTGAAGATGGGCCTTGCCCGAAAATTCGAATAATTTTATATATATTTCCTTTCAAAATTTAATATGTCTTTTTCTTTTAGTGATTGGTGCAGCCCAGAGACCGTTTGGGGAGTGAAGAAGTCTCAGATGTATGGATAAAAAATAATAAATAAATGTAAAAAAAAGATGAAAGGAAAAGGACATATGGAAACGAGTTAAGAGTAACTCTCCACCACTTTAACTAGATACCATATACAGTCAGAAAGTGCAACAGCTAGGCACAAAACTGACAGAGTACTGAGACATTCGACGTCCTGACACCTAGCTTCAACACATCTCCGTAGCGCTAACCGACAGCCTTCCAACTTGGAAGGTTCAAGGTTATGGAAAGACCAAAGAGGGGAAGGCAAGCGCAACGAAAACGAGCACAAGCTACAGTCCCAACGGAACAAAGAATGTCGATTGTCACTGGACGATGACGAGACCAGTACTCTGTCAGTTTTGTGCCTAGCTGTTGCACTTTCTGACTGTATATAGTATCTAGTTAAAGTGGTGGAGAGTTACTCTTAACTCGTTTCCATATGTCCTTTTCCTTTCTACTTTTATTATTGGCTCAATACCCAAGTTAAAAAAAAGAAGATGTATGGATATAGGGGAAATAAATGGAGAATAAATAGAAAGGAAAAGTAGGGAGGCGTGTAGTGGCTTTTAGTGCTTCCCTTTTCACAAATGTTGCCATCCAAAGCGAAAACAGACCTAAGGGGTCAAATTTTGGAAAATGGTTGTTTGATTGGATTTTGTTTATATGGACATAGTGAACCTCTGTACAAAATTTCAGACTACAACCAAGAGTGCATAAACAAGAGTATGCAACTGTGATCTCTTTTCTATGGGCCAGATGCGCGGCGCGCTGCCTTCATCACGTCATTCGGCTGCAGTCCGCGCACTGCGGAAAATCAAACACCGCGTTTTCCCCCTGGTTTGAAATGAACTTTCGTACGGAACTGGAGTTCACGCGCCATAACTCAGAGATCGCGTAGGTACTGGAACGAATCGAGCAAAAACGGATGGGCTCGTACGAGAAATTGTGAGTTTGAGTGCATGCTTTCAGAGCGTGATGAAGGCAAGTTACGTAATGAAGGCAGCGTGCCGCGCACTGGGCCATAACCACAGTTGCATACTCTTGTTTATGCACTCTTGATACAACACATAAATCATGCTTAAAATCACTTTATTATGTCTTGGGGTCCATATTCTACTATCGCAAACAGTATTTTCATCTTTCACTGTCGTTTGTTCCACATACACGATGTCTTCTAAGCCCAGGTTGCTTCTTTGCCTTGGCAAAGGTCGGGCAGTACTTCTTTGTTGAGGTAGGAGCAGCGCTGTTGTGACGATCCACTGGGCGCAAGGATGGCAGGGCGACCAGCTGGAACGCCAGCATTGGCTTTCAATAAGTTTTCTTAAATTCAGGACCATCGCAGATCCCGCGCACTCACACTGTTCCCACATTGCACATACATCTGTTTGCGGCTTTATTAACTCCACATCGGAGCACTGATTGACCCAAATCCTTCTGAAAACTTCATAGGACACTGCATCATCTTCCTCGCGCTCTACATAACACTTGTACATAAGGAGCTTGGACAGTGATGCTGGCAGGTATGTTGGTGCTACTCCTGCTCTGCCCCCCGTGGTGCAGCTGGCTGTGGCATCCCATGGACGGATGCATACTTCCTAAGGAAGGTCACAACATGCTCAGCAACATCCGCAGGAGTCACAGGCGATTTGCCAGCAAAGCCATGCAAGGGTGGTTCTGCTTTCGCATCTTCCACAATGCCCTGTAGCGACTTCAGCATGTAAAGACTGAGACCTAACATATCGCGCACCACAGACTGACAAACCTGAGATCCCAGCAGTGAATACGAATAGTGGTGTCGCGCGGAACCAGGTTCAGAGCGAAGCGCAGTTGTCAGTACGCCCACGATGAAAACGTTTTTGCTTTCTTTTTCAGCTGCTTCGAGCTGAACATAAGCTCTTCCAGCAGCTTAGGCGCCAGCGATTCGTAGTGGTTCTTGCCCTTACAGCTGCAGCCGGATGATTTCAGGTCTCGAATATCTGCAGCGATTAGGGCACGCTCTTGATCTGCTGATCCCTGCCCTGTCGCACCGGCACCGTCATCGCTGTCTGAAGCAGCGGAAAGTTCGCTGTGTACAGACTCACTGGAATCGCCGCTGAGGGCTTCTCCGTAGTCGACGCGTTTTTTCTGTAACTCGATGCTGCTATCACTGTCAGATGAGCCATCTGAGTGCTCCTCCGCGGAAACTGCCTGCTGTACTTGACCCTCAGCGGAGCTTGACTCGCCCGACTCGGAAATTTGATACATGTAGTACCTCACGTCAAGTGGTTCAAGTGCATTTCGCTCTTCCACAGCCAGCCCAATGGGCTTCAAACTGCGACGACGACTCTTTCTGCATGTGCACTACACTCAATCCAACTAACTTGTGAGCTTTTCTCAAGATCGTCTTCTTCAAAAGCTAGTCGCCCACTCGCTTTCTTGTCGACGACGAGGATGTAGTCGAAACAAAAATAATCTGATCACTTCCAAGCCGCGCACGCTTTTCCAAAAAGTTACGTCACCTTTGAAACGTCATAACTTGATATTGATATCAAGGTCCTCAGGTCGTTTTCTGCTTTGGACGGCCCATATGTACTTGGGGTGGATGACATGACTATTGTAGTTTTCTTCATCCTATCGCCTGTGTCTGGAGTGGCGTGACGTTGGGCGACACAGCTACAGGGTACACACCGCTGCTCTGGTTCTTGTGTCTGTGTGTTGTTGGTTCAATGACATTTGCAATCTTGCTTGCGCTTGTCCTCTGTCGTGTAGGAACAACTCCAGCGTCTAATGGAGACACTTCGAAACACCAATCCTAACTTTGTGCGCTGTATCATTCCCAATCACGAGAAGAAGGTAAGGATAGAATGAGCACCTGTCTGTAGGCGCCTCATTCTGAATGCCACTTATTGCTATGTGGTGCGCTGCATGCGGCACCTGCGATGAGCTGCGACCGTGACACATGATTCACATCATCGTTTGGATGATCAGTGTTTTGACAAACTGCATCCGTGTCTGTCTGTCCGTGTGTGAGTGTGCACAAGTATTCTTGACTGCACCTGTACCTGTCCGTGTGTGCACGCGTATACTTCACTGTGCCCGTTTCTTGACTGCGCCCATGTCTGCCTGTGTGTGCACGTGCACCCGTGTATTCCTGTCCACGCAGTCCGGCAAGATCGTGCCGCCGTTGATCCTGGAGCAGCTGCGTTGCAACGGAGTGCTGGAGGGCATACGTATCTGCCGCCAGGGCTTCCCTAGTCGTGTCCCGTTCCAGGAGTTCCGTCAGCGCTACGAGCTGCTCACGCCCAGCCTGATACCGAAGGGCTTCATGGACGGACGCCGGTCGGCTGTGATGATGGTGAGTCAAGGATTTCTTGTACATATAGAAACTCGTATTACTGTCCGCTCACGTCAATTGTTGTGGTAAGCGAACAGACATATCAAATACAGGTCTTCCCTCGTTATTACCGTATGTCCGCACCTTTAAAGCCATGGCGGTATATTCAATTATAATGCCATGGGCTTCATAAATGAAATGATATTTGAAGTATGTTTTTTGTAAAAATGAAGGAATAAGTACTATGCTAACAAACTTACAGTCCAGCAGGAAGGGTGAACAAGTGGGTTTAGATTGAAATTTCTGTGTGGTCTTTGTCTTTTATGCCATGGTGTAGTGAGTGGGTCATTTTGCATCCAAAAAATCTAGGAAAGCAGCGGTGTTTCGAATATAAGGCCATGGCTTTAAAGGTGCTGACATACGGTATGGCATTGGATGCACGACAAACCTCATCAGTAGACAATGATTCAAAAAATGCCGACCCGAGTCAAGCTTAGTTTTAAGTGTGGCCCTACCATAATACCTCCATAATGCACGACAGAAATGCGCACTTTGAGTAGTGCCAGTAGATGTATCTAGTCGGTGCGGGTGATCCGTATTCTGGAGATTCTGATGCAGTGGACTAGTAGTGTTCTTTTATTTTCCATTGGAAGCCTCACCAGTGGTGAATGTTGTGTATGCACTACCGTATTTATGCATGTACTCTTATGGACTGCCCTGTCCATGTATGATGCTCCCCTGTTCTATGTATGTAACTCGCATGTCTTATTATGCATTCTTGTTGTACCCTGCACGCACTACGCTCCGTATGCGTGTCTTGCACATATCCGTGTCCTACCTAACTAGGATTCTATGCGTATGCATCTGGACACTCTCGCGATTCCCGTCTCTGTACTGCCTTCTTTGTACCAACGCTTATCCTTGTAGTTTTATTAGTTTCCTTTGTCTTTTGTCCTTGTTCATGCAAGGTAACAGAACAACATAACAGTGAACACAACCCTTTGTTAAAAGAGGACCGATAGCAAAGTTGAGGGGGTGGGTCGAGAAAAAAGAAGAAGAAAAAAGATAGGTTTACTTAGCATTGTGCTGTTGCGTTCTGTTCTGTTGTGCAGCTGGAAGCACTGGAGCTGCACGAGGATCAGTATCGTGTGGGTAACAGCAAGGTGTTCTTCCGCGCCGGTGTGCTAGCCAAGCTGGAGGAGGACAGGGAAAACAAGCTTAGTACCATCCTCACTGCCATGCAGGCACGCATCAGAGGAACTCTCAGCCGCATGTAAGTGGGGGGCCCCGCTAACGCCCCGCTACTATTGTAGTGTTGTTGGTTTGACAGCATGAACATATCTAAAAATAATGTTATCTAAGGCCACACGTTTTTATTTCTATGTTTCTCGTCACCCGCGCGCATACGATTCAGGAGTCTGGAAGAAAAAAACTGTGCTGCACTGACTGTGCATGTGGGGACCAGCACACTCATGCACATGGACGTAATGTGGCCTGGCCTGCGCGACAAGCGTGATGCAAGGACGGCATTTTTGTGCGCAATCTAGCTGCACATGCACAGATTGTGACAGAAGCTCCTACCACATACTAGTTGCTAACTATGGATGCTATTTTGCATTGGTGTATTGGTGGATTTTAGTGTGAACAAAGGTCTAATAAACTTTTTTATTTTTCGGTCATTTTTTATTTTTTTCCACCTCTCGCATACGTTTTTAGATTTTCATGTGACGAGAAACATTGAAATAAAAACGTGTGCTGGCCTAATATCATATTGTAGTGTTGTACAGTCAGACCTCGCTTAACCGCACACATCCGTTTTTCACAAAATATCGTGATAGGCGAGGGAACCGGATAATCGAACACACATACTGAATGTATGCGTGACATATGCTGCAAATCGGTAACCAGCGATTTACTTCCGGATGGCGAGGGATCCGGATAACAGAGGACCGGATAAGCGAGGTCTGATTGTATTGTATTTTTATTAGGGGTGAAACAATTATACCGAGTACTCGAGTACTCGCTCGGATTTTTCAAAAATAATCGTACTCGGAATAAATCAGAGTACTCGTTCATACATGGTACATGCATTTACTACAGAAATCTGCAGTTTCAGGGCAGCAGTCAGCAGATGGTGATGTGCAGGCTGTGTGGTGAACATTTGTTCACGAGTAGAGAGAGCCCAAATGACCCACAAACCAATATACCCGAGAAAAATGACTGCTACTCTGTTCAATCAGGGTTGTATCATGTTATTTTAAAGCCCTTGGTGTGCAATTTTTAGGAGATGAAAAATACTCGAATACTCGAATATTCGATCGGAGAAAATCAGAGTACTCGAACTCGGGATCTCAGTGCCAACTTTCACCCCTAATTTTTATTTTTATTTTACTTTGGCATTCCCAACAGACCCTAAGGTCTTCTTACAGGGTGCCCATAGAGCCAGTATGCCAGTGGCAAGTGAAAACTGCCGACCTCTGTTTTCGCGCACACATGCACGTAGACAGTGTTTTCACATCTGTCACATGACCACACATGTACAGTGAAATCTGTCACATGACCACACATGTACAGTGAAATCTGTCACATGACCACACATGTACAGTGAAATCTGTCACATGACCACACATGTACTGTACATTGTACAGTGAAATCTGTCACATGACCACACATATACAGTGAAATCTGTCACATGACCACACATGTACAGTGAAATCTGTTACATGACCACACATATACAGTGAAATCTGCCATGGTGACCGCTCGGATAAGGCGACCACCTGGCTGCTGTGTGCGTTTGTGTGTGTGTGCGTGCCTGCGTGTGTGTATGTGAACCAGAGATTCTGTGTTCATGTATTTGGATGCCGAGCCTTCTTTGTAAGGAGTGAACTGTTTCTGCGACAGCATACCTCTGATACAGTGTTAGCATTGCGCCAAAGAGTCCATAAGACCAAGAATGTGCAACTGGGGTCTGGCTGCTGTAGGCCCCCCGCGCGGCGGAATTCCAACATTACGTCATGCCGCTGAGGCACAGCTGTACAAAACTCCGCAATCCGCGATGCTTGGAACCAGGGAGTAGTACAAGCGCAACGAACATGTACGTCATTTTTGACGTAATGTTGGAATTCCGCCGAGCGGATCCCCATGTACAGAGTTGCACACTCTTGGGGTTTTGGACTCTTGATTGCGGCGATAGCTGTGATAATCATAGTGTGACTTTTGTGTCTGTGCTGCTCTTGTGTGTATTGTGATTCTTTCTCCAGTAACTATCAGAAGTTAGTACAGCAGAGTAAGGCTATTCACGTTGTGCAGAGGAACTGCAGAGCCTACCTCATTCTGCGTCGCTGGCCATGGTGGAGACTGTTCACTAAGGTGAGATATTCTCGTGTGTACATGTGTGTGTGTGTGTGCGTGCGCGTGTGTGTGCGTGTGTGTGCGTGTGTGTGTGTGTTGTGTGCATACTTGTGAGCTTCGGGAGTTCCAGCTGCACAACTGCAACCAATTTCTCCAAGACAAGTCAAGGAGATCTCGCTAAGGCATCACTGCGAAATAGTACCTCAGCCAACCTCTCCATGTCTGTCGGCCACTCACACGGGGGATGGCATATGACCGGAAATGGCAATGTTCAGTATAGGATGTGTGTGTACCTGTGTGTACGTGTGTGTGTGTACCTGTGTGTGTGTGTGTGTGTGTGTGTGTGTGTGTGTGTGTGTGTGTGATGTGTTTGCCCTTCTAGAGGGCAGTTTACAGTTTTTGAGCTCTGACAGTCTTTCCCCTCAAAAGTCGTCGTAGGTCCCTTCCAGGCCAGAGGCGGCCCCGTAAGGGTCGCCTCTGAGCCAACAGAGCGCATTCGACGTCGGGATCACCACGACTTGAGGACGGGACGGTGTTTGTTGCCGTCACCATTGGTCGTGCCCGTCGTCGCCACTCGCGGCGGTTTGACAAGCCCCCGAGTGGATTTCCACCGCGCAAACTATGAAATTTGTTGCTGAGAGAAGAGAGAGGAGGAGACGCTGCCAGGTACGATTCGGGTGTTGGAACGTGAGATCCCTGGTCGAGCGTGATGGCGGTTTGGAGACGGCAAGCGTAACTGGGAATGTCGTCGAGAACAAAAAGATCAACCGTGTCGCAGATGAACTCCGACGGCTCAACATCACGGCAGCCGGACTGCAAGAGACTCACTGGTTCGGAAGTGGCATTTACAGTGTGGAGAATTCTACTGTCCTGTGCTCTGGCCGACCTGTCCCTGGCGGGGGAGACTCTTGCCGTCGTGGTGAGGGTGTTGGCATTATTTTGAATCGTACGGGAACTGAGGCTTGGAAAGCTGCCGGCTGCGTTTGGCGTTCTGTCAGCCCTCGTGTCGTAAGTGCTCGTCTATTGTTCACCCTTGCAGATGGGACGTCCGAATATTTTACTCTTGTGAGCGCGTATGCTCCGACGTTTGCAGCCAGTCGTTCAAGCAAAGAAATTTTCTTTGACGACCTTCAACGAACTTTGAACGACACCCCTTCAAACGATCACTGCGTTGTACTTGGTGACTTCAATGCACGCGTTGGCTCTGGGCAGCTAGACGACGAGTGGTACGGTGTACGGGGCACGCATGGTTTTGGACGCCTGAACTCTTCTGGCGCTGAACTGCTGTCTTTTGCTTCTGCAAATCGACTGTGCATATGTAACACCTGGTTCCCAAAACGTGACTTGTTCAAACGTACGTGGCAACACCCTGGCACCCTCCAATGGCATTGCATTGACCACATCCTTGTTCGACAAGAGGACCTGGGTGCCTGCACTGATGTATCAGTAATCAGAAATGCTGAGTGTGGCAGTGACCATCAGCTGCTACATATGTCATGGGACATGTCTAGCCCAATCAGGTTTAGCAAGCAGTGCACGGCCAGACAACGACGCTTTGATGTCGCCCAGCTCAGGAACTCCAAGCCATCTAGTCAAACTGACACCAATGCCGAGCCTACGCCAGTTGATTTGTATCGCAATGTTGTTGAGAGTGAACTCACCAAGGATTGGAATGAGCAAGCCAACATTGCGAGTAAATGGAACCATATCAAGTCAGCACTTGATACTGCGGCAACCTCTGTTCTCGGATTCTCGAGACGCCAACCCGGCTGGTTCCAGGAGGCAACTCCAGAGATCCAACCACTCCTTGGGGATCGGAACGCTGCATACAAGGAGTGGATCCAGCATGGACAGCACCGCGATCATCCATCCTTCAGCACATTTAAATCTGCCAGGTCGAGGGCACGCTCAGCTATTGATGCAGCCCGTGTGAAGTGGATAGAAAGCAAGGCGCTAGCGGCTACAGAGTCCCGTTTTAACGGAGCTATTATATGGAAGTGCATTCACGATCTCCAAGCTGCAGGGGAAGGTTTGAAACCGGCTCGGACAACGGCAGTCATGGATGAAAACGGAAATCTATGCACGTCACCAGAAGAGCAGGGTCACCGTTTTCGGAGACATTTCTCTGGAGTGCTGAACATCCATAGCACGTGGTCACCTAGTGCACTGGACTCCATCCCACAACTGCCGGTAGCCCAAGATCTCGCTAGTCCCCCGACACTGGAGGAAGTTCGTCGTGCTATTGGCAAGCTCCAGAACGGGAAATCGGCTGGAGCCTCTGGTATCCTCCCGGAAATGTTGGAATTTGGTGGCGAGCAGCTGTTCCTCAGCCTTCATGGGCTGTTTGGCGATGTGTGGCGTGAGGGTCGTGTCCCCCAGGAGTGGGTAGATGCCATGCTGGTGCCAATACCCCAAAAAGGTGACCTCTCCAGATGCGATAACTGGCGGGGGATATCTTTGCTGGATGTCGTAGGCAAGGCACTAGCAGGAGTCATTCAGCTACGCCTCCAGTCTCTGGCCAAAGAATTCCTCCCGGAATCGCAGTGTGGCTTCCGCCGTGGCAGATCATGCTCCGACATGATATTTACCATCCGCCAACTCTTGGAGAAGACAGTAGAACATCAAACCAAGGGTTTCTTTGTCTTCATCGATTTGCGCAAAGCTTACGACTCGGTTCCTCGTGAGTGTCTCTGGCAGGTATTGGCTAGAGCTGGCGTCCCTTCACCCATGCTGGCGGTGATCAAGTCGTTTCACACCTCAATGGCTGCTGTATTACGCATGAGTGGTACAACTGTAGATCCCTTTAGCGTTCATAATGGCCTACGCCAGGGTTGCTCAATGGCGCCCGTGCTGTTTAACATTTTCATGTGGGCCGTGGTAAGCAGATGGCAGCAGCGCGTTAGTGGTGTACCTGGTATTGGTTTCAGTTTCTCGCACAATTCTGACACTGGTAACCTCTACAGGAAGTCTCACCGCACCGACCCTGTCACTACCGCTACGGAGGCTCAGTTCGCTGATGACTCGGCATTGTTCGCTACATCAAGAGCTGGTGCCGAGGTCGCATTGACAACCTTTGACAACACGGCGTCCGAATTTGGCCTCGCGGTTAGTGCCACAAAGACCAAGTTTTTGGTTGCTGGTGCTGATGTGTCTGCTGCTGACCGCGTACCCCTCAGTCTAGCTGGTGTCGACATTGCCTGTGTCACCGAATTTAAGTATCTGGGTTCGGTAATTCACAGCGACGGCCGTTCATCCTGCGATGTTGACTCCCGCATTGCGAATGCCTCCCGAGCGTGTGGCGCTTTGCAAAAGTCCATCTTTGGCAACAAGCACCTGGACCTCCACATCAAGAGGTGTGTGTTCAACGCCTGTGTCTTGTCGCTCTTGCTGTACGGTTCGGAGTGTTGGACGCCTCTTCAACGGGATTTGCAGCGGCTCTCTGTCTTCCACCACCGATGCATCCGCTCAATCATGGGAGTGTCTCGCCAAACATGCTGGGATGACCACATCACCAACCACCAACTACGTGTGAGGTGGGGTGATCCCGACACCATCCGCACGAAGGTGGAGCACCGCCGCCTTGAATGGCTCGGGCATGTTGCTCGGATGGAGGACCACCGGTTGCCGAAGCAAGTTCTCTTTGGCACGCTTCCGTCGCGTCGCCCAGCTCATGGCCCTCGTCGGCGCTGGAAGGATTGTATCATGTCTGACCTTCGTTCTCGCGGCCTCGAGGGGGAATGGCGAGCTGAATGCGAGTCGCGTTCCACCTGGCGCTCGGCGTACTCAGCACCGGTAGATGCCCAGCATACCCCTCCCGTCACCTGCTACACCTGCGACCGACAGTTTACGCGCCCCAGTGATCGCGCACGCCACAAATGTAAGGCTGAGCGTGCGAAGCCGGTTGCGGAGCAGAAAGGTGCATGCCAGTGTGGAGAGTGTGGCCGTTGGCTGAAGTCCCGTGGAGGTCTGGCAAGGCACAAGTGTACTTACCCCCAGTCAGCAGTCGGTGCGCCCCTGCCGCTGCCTGCTTCTCCGCTGTGCTGCGTCGCTCACTGCCAGGCTTGTGACCGCTGCTTTGCGTCTACACGTGGCCGCGCCCGTCATCGCTGCTCGCGGACTTGTAGTCGTCCGACCGTTCAGGACCGTCAGGGTTTCACGTGTGTTTGCGCCTGCTCCCGCCGATTTCGCTTACCGCATCACCTGGATCGTCATAGGGCTGTGTGCTCCTCCTCTCTCTCAGCTGCCCCTCCGGGGCCCACGTAACCTTCATGGCAGTGGCTCAACAGGACAGGTGTGTGTGTGTGTGTATGTCTGTGTGTGCATGTCTGTGTGTGCATGCTGGTACTGGTGGTGGCGATGGTAGTCATGCTATTGCAGTTGGTGCTGGACTCTGTGTTTGTTTAGCTACTGCATTTGCCAGCATAAAGCACTGTCATTCTAGCATTGGCCGACTAATTGTTGGTTTTGCTTTGAGAATGACAGTCGTCATGTCATGGCTATATAATTCTTCAGTTCTTTCGGGTGAGCAGCTTGACAACCTACCCATGAGAGACTTGCTCAATTAGAACTGTGACACCTATTACCTGTCGTTGTAACCATGCTAATTGTTATTCTGGCCATTATCAAACCAAGTAGCAACATCATTTGATTGTGTGTTCATGCGTGGGTGGGCTCATGGTGGCTGTGGTAATGTGTATGTGTGATACTCATTTTTCCTCGTCTGTGTGTGTGTGTATGAGTGCAGGTGAAGCCATTGCTGAATGTGACTCGTCAGGACGACGAGCTCCGCGCCATCGAGGTCGAGCTGAAGACGGTCAATGACAAACTGGCCCGGAGCGACCGTGACGTGGACAGCCTGCGTAACCTAGTGGATACACTGACAATGGAGAAGAGCAAACTCAATGAACAACTCACCTCTGAACAGGACATGCTTAACGAAGCTGAAGAGGTCAGTACCGTACTTACCGTACTGTCGGTCGGTCGCCGAATAACTACGGGTCAGCCTGCTAGCGTGGACTGTTCTTGTTTTCATGTATTACAGTGAATGCACAGTTGAATCATCGTGTATACATTGCTATGCTGTGCCAGGGTAAAATTCTAGCTTGGTCTGTTCTTCAGCGCTACCCGACAGTACTGTATCACATTACATGTACACTGCTATTGTTGTGTACACAGGTAATCATGTACTGCTATTGTTGTGTACACAGGTAATCATGTACTAGTAGTATGATCAAAGGCATGCCATGTTGCACAGCAAAACTGACACGCACAAGACAAGTGTGGGTGCGGGTGTGCGTGGTGAATGTGGGCCAAGAGCACAGGGAGGACAGGTGGACAGTTTAACATTATTTTTTTGCATTGTCCTCGTTGAATTGTACGGCCCGCGCCACGTTTAATTAACCGCTCGTGTACTGACTTCTCTCCCGCTCTGTGCTGCTCCAGGCACGCTCAGAGTTGCTGCAGCGCTGCGGCAAGCTGGAAGAGGCACTTCACGACACGGAGATGCGTCTGGACGAGGAAGAGGACCGCAGCAAGGACCTGTCTGCAGAGCAGAAGAAGCTGCAGGAGAAGATCACCGTCATGGAAGAACAGTAAGCTGAAAAATGGGAAAAACGGGTTTTCTCGCCTGTCAGCCGCCTGTCAGCTGCCTGGCCTCGTGGAAACACACTCTGTTGTTGTGGTTATTATTATTGACTTTCTTGGTGAAATTTTGCAGGCTTCTATATGAGACAGGCTTCTATACAAGACAGGTATTTCTATGTATGTCAACACTAAAACCATGCTTATGTGTGATTTGATGGGCCCAAAATTGCGGCTTCTATTCAAGTGCGGCTTTTATACAAGACTTTACGGTATGTCAATGTACAGAGACTGACCTGGGTCTTGTTATGTCTCGTA